CCCTAACCCTAACCCTAAACTTATTCCTAACCCTAACTCTAACCCTAACCCTAACCCTAACCCTAAACTTATTCCTAACCCTAACTCTAACCCTAACCCAAACCCTAACCCTAACCCTCACCGTAACCGAAACCCTAACCCTAATGCTAACCCTAACGCTAAACCCTAATCCTAACCCCTAACCATAACCCTAACCGTAACCCTAACGCTAACCCTAACCCTAACCCTATCCCTAACCCCTAACCCTAACCCAAACGCTTACCCTAACCATAACCCTAAACCCAAACCCTATACCCTAACCCAAACCATAACCCTAACCCTAACCCTAACCCTAACCCTAACCCTAACCCTAAACCTAACCCTAACCCTAACCATAACCGCTAACCATAACCCTAACTGTAACCTTAACGCTAACCCTAACCGTAAACCTAACCCTATCCCTAACCCCTTACCCTAACCCTAACGCTAAACCCAAACACTATACCCTAACCCTAACCCAAACCATAACCCTAAACCTAAACCTAACCCTAACCCTAAACCATAACCCCAAACGCTAACCCAAACCCTAACCCTTTTTAATCCTAACCCTAACCATAACCCTTGCTAACCTTAACCCTTGTTAACTCTAAACATGACCCTAAACCTAACCATAACCCTAAACCTTAACCCTAACCCTAACCCTAACCCTAATCCTAATCCTAACCCTATCCCTAACCCTAACCCTTACCCTAACCATAACCCTAAACCCAAACCCTCTACCCTAACCCTAATCCAAACCATAACCCTAAACCTAACCCTAACCCTAACGCTAAACCATAACCCTACCCCTAACCCTAAACCTAACACTACCCCTAACCCTACCCATAACCCTAACCCTAACCCGAAACCCTAACCCTAACCCTAACCCTAACCCTAACCCCTAACCCTAACCCTAACCATTACCCAAACATTAACCCTAAATCCTAACCCTAAATACTAATCCCTAACCCTAACGCTTAACCGTAACCCTAACCCTAGTACCGTGTAGTCTCTTTTTTAAGATTAGGGTTAGGGATCCTGGTTTGCGCATAGTTTGCAGTCTCTTTTTTAAGGTTAGGGTTAGGGAACAGGCTTTGGGTATAGCTTGCAGTTACTCTGTGGACTCATCAGCACTGACTCCGCCCAGGAGGCGGAGCCAGTGACGTGGAAATTCAGCGCTGACTCCGCCTCTTGACTCCGCCCAGTGTGGGGGACCAGTGCTCTATATAAGGAGAGTACATACCGGACGGCGGTGGGTATTCTGCCAGACACGCAACAGAACAGTAACAGCAAAAGCAGACACCCAAGAGAAAAAGCAAAAGATTCTGACAGCGGAGGACAGTGAATCAGGCTTATAGCCCGAGAGGGGCTTATTGGGCACCGCTGCGTGTCTGGAATGGGCTAAACCCGCGATTGCTAGATCGCGCATTGAGACAGATTCTGCCAAACCCTAACTCTAACCCTAACCCTAACCCTAAACCCTAACCCCTAACACTAACCCTAACCCTAACCGTAAACCCGCGATTGTTAGATCACGCACTGTGACAGATTCTGCCTAACCCTAACCCTAGCCCTAACCCTAACCCTAAACCTTAACCCTCACCCTAACCCTAACCCTAACTCTAACCCTAACCTTAATTTTAACCCTAACCCTAACCCTAAGTGTAACTGAAACCCTAACCCTAACCCTAATGCTAACCCTAACACTAAACCCTAATCCTAACCCCTAACCATAACCCTAACCGTAACCCTAACGCTAACCCTAACCCTAACTATAACCCTAACTCCTAACCCTAACACTAACCCTTATCCTAGCCCTAAACCTAAAACCAAGCCCCATACCCTAACCCTAACCCATATTCTAACCCTTACCCTAACCCTAAACCTAAACCTAAACCTCACCCTCACCCTATCCCTATCCCTAACCGGAACCGTTACCCTAACCCTAACCCTAACTCTAACTGTAACCCTAACCCTAACCCAAACCCTTGCTAAGTCTAACCCTAACCCTAACCCGAACCCTAACCCTAACCCCAATCCTAACCTTAAACCTAACCCTAACCCCAATCCTAACCCTAACCCTAACCCTAACCGAAACCCTAACCCTAACCCTAATGCTAACCCTAACACTAAACCCTAACCCTAACCCCTAACCATAACCCTAACCGTAACCCTAACCCTAACCATAACCCTAACCCTAAGCCTAACCCTTGCTAACCCTAACCCTAACCCTAACCCTATACCCTAACCCTAAACCTAAACCTAAACTCTAACCCTTATCCTAAACCCAAACCCTAACCCTAACCCTAAACCCAAACCCTATACCCTAACCCTAACCCTAACCCATGATCTCTTAACATGGCTTTTAGGAGTGAGAGGTTGATCGAGCAATCTGAATTTGGCCGGATTAAAAAGTGCCAGTTTTCCTACTGTGCAGGGACCTCCCTCTGGGTAAGCAGAAATACCCTGCCACGCTTGATCCCCGCATGGAAGGAAAAACCCCTTAGGGAGTTTCATATTTCTGGGCACACGCTCTGTGGCCACCGTAGTGGCAATTGATTTGTTGCACCACAGCGAGGAAGTGCCTTAATAGATAGGTTTGTTGGCCAATACATTGTGGGGAGTAAATAGTTTCGGTTCCGTGTATCTGTGGAAGATTATACAGTAGCTGGTGGGGAGAGAGCCAAGGAGATCAATCTCCTGAGGTGGATCCGGGGTGAAGGCCTGGCGTGAGACAGTCTGTGATAGTGTAGCAGAGTTCAATGGGATATGACCTGAAATCCAACTCTGAGAAGTAAACGTGTTCCAGCGCTCTCCTGGGGTAACTGGAATGCCCACCAGGCAAGTTTGGAAGGGGCTTTCAGCACTTGACAAAGCCAGGCACAAGGTGTCTGTGCCCGTGGCCTTGGCCAGCGTTATCCATAGGTTCTCTGGGGGTTGCTTCATCCAGTCTCTTACTGGTGATGAGGTAGTGATGGTTGTACTCATCCTTAAGAGGATGACAGTGTAGATGCAGAGGCGGACGGTCCACATATTGGATCAGTTTTCGGACGACTCACACTCTCCTTGCTGGAACCCACTTTGGTCCTGCGTCTCCTGCAATAAAAGCGTACCCTTTCCCCCATGTAATAAGGGGAAAGGGGCCTGTCCAATTTTCTGTTAATGGGTCCTTATACATTACCTTTGCTTTTGTAACATTATGGGGGGAATCTGAATTAAAGTGCTTATCGATGGGACTTCTGTTTGTGTGAGTATCAGATTCCTCCAGCAGATTTAAAAAATTTAAAACGTACATTACTTTTTCCAGTCTTTCTTGGGGGGTCATACCTGTACTCCCCCTTTTTTGTTTTTTTAGTAAATTTTTAATATTTTGGTGGGCTCTCTCTACTATCCCCTGTCCTGTGGGGTTATGTGGGACCCCAGTGATATGGTGTACACCCCATTCCTCAAAAAAACTTTTTGTATCTGTAGAGACATAGGAGGGCCCATTATATGTTTTAATCTGTTTTGGGACTCCCATCCTTGCAAACGCTGATAGAAAATGTCTCTTGACATCCCTGCTTTTTTCACCGGAATGCACAGTGGCCACAATCATTTTTGAAAATGTGTCAATGGACACATGTACATATTTGAATTTTCCGAATTCAGGTATGTGCGTGACATCTGACTGCCAAATTTCCAAAGCTGCTAATCCTCTAGGATTGGTCCCCTCTGGAACCAGCAGGGCAACCATTTGACAGTCAGGGCACGCTTTTAAAACCTCTTTTGCTTGTGTTAATTTTAGGCCAAATTGTTTTTGCAGTGACCGTGCATTTTGATGAAAAAATTAATGGGAAATTTTAACCTGTTGATACAAATTAGTGGTAACAACCATACCTGCTAGATGGTCAGTAATCTGGTTTCCCTCCGCCACAGGGCCTGGTAGAGCAGTGTGAGATCTTGTGTGGACAATGTAATATTCAAACTTTCTGTTGTGAATTAAAAACAACAAATTTGTTAACAGACCGAACAATCTTTCATTTGACTCTTCTTTCAAATATGAATTTTCAATCCTTTTCACAATGCCCACAACATAAGCCAAATCTGATATAATATTGATCGCCTAATTTTTAAAAATTTCAAAGGCGCGAACAACTGCTGACAATTCCACGATTTGGGGAGAACCTTGGGCCTTATGAATATCTTGTTGCCAATTACCGTTTTCTTGCCAGACAATTACTGCATTTCCGATTCTCCCAGATCCATCGGTAAACAATGTTTTTGCACTTTTTATTGGCATGTCTGATTGTATAATTTTTAGTTTTACTGGAATTGGAATTAGTCTTTGTAAAAATGGGCATGCCGGGAGGTGGAATTTGATTTCTCCCGGATAGCCTCCAATGGCAATCTGAAAATCAGTGGAATTCTGCATCAGTTGTTCTACCTGTTTGAAAGTCAGTGGGAGGTAGATGCAACTCAGCTCCTCTCCACTGAGTTCCAAACATCTGGTGTGTCCTTTGAAGATCAATTTTGCAATCATTTCTGCTAGGGTGACAATTGTTTTAGAAAACTGGTGTGGGAGGAAGATCCACTCCCACAAACAGAAGTCCTTAGCATCTGTTGAGAATTGGCCTAATATGTCCAATGGCTGTATGTGCTCTCTGATTATAATTAAAGAAGATGGCAGTCCCTCCAGCTTTCTACCTATTTGTCTTTCTGATATCTTTTTCTCAACCGTGGAGAGGGCTTTCTCGGCCTCAAGAGTCAGAGTTCTGGGGGAGTAGTTCGAATAGGGGATGCAAATCATCAGTTGTGATCCCCAGTACTGGTCGGATACAATTGATTGCTCCCAATAGTTTTTGGAGGTCATTTAAATTTCAGACTTTCTTATCAATCATGACTGATTGAGGTTTGATAGCTTTAGAGGTAATTTGGAGTCCGAAGTACCTCCAGGGTGCTTCCTTCTGTATCGTCTCAGGGGGTACTTCCAATCCTTGAGAATTTAGAGCTGAAATCGCTGCATTCAGAGTCTTTTTGACTGCCGATTCTGTTTTAGCCCAAATCAATACATTGTCCATATAATGGAAGATGATCGATTGGGGGAACTTTTGCCTAATGGGTTCCAACACTTTTGCCACAAACATTTGGCATAGTGTCGGGGAATTCTTCATCCCCTGGGGAAGCACCTTCCATTGGAACCTGCGATGGGGGTCACAAGCGTTGATGGCTGGGATTGAAAATGCAAATTTGACCGAATCAGCCGGATTAAGATAAATGTGAAAGAAGCAGTCCTTTATGTCAATCACCACTAGAGGCCATTCAGCAGGAAGCATAGATGGAGAAGGAATTCCCTGTTGGAGGGCTCCCATTGGCTCCAGGACTTAGTTCACTTTGCGCAGGTCCTGGAGAAATCTCCAGAAACCTGAGGATTTTTGTATCATGAACACTGGAGTGTTCCAGGGACTGGTGGAAGGCTCTAAGTGTCCTTTAGCCAATTCTTGATTAACCAAATCATTTAGGATTTGCAGCTTCATTTTGGGTAGGGGCCACTGATCCACCCAAACAGGGGTTTCAATTTTCCAATTCAGTTTGGGCAGCTGCACCTGCTCAGTGACCCCCCCTAAAAATTTTCTTTTGTTTTTAAGCTTAGTTGCCACTGTTCCATGGCGTCCCGTCCCCACAGTGTGATCGGAATGTTTAATACATACGGTTGAAGAGATGCAGGTCTACCGTCCAGCCCGTATACTGTGACAATTTCTTTGCTTCTGACTGGGTGCTGTGACCCTCCTACCCCGCTGACTCATGTGTCCGCGGAGTGGGCCAGCCAGCCACACAGCCAGTCCTTTGCTGCTAGTATGGTTACGTCTGCCCATGTGTCCAAAAATCCTTCCACCTTGATCTTTTGTGGATGTCCTGGTTCTGAAAAATAAATTAAACATTTTAGGAGAGGTCGAGAAGACTTCACTGAGGTCACCCAATTGGCTTCCTTCAGAGTCTCACTCCTCTCCTCCTCGTCTTTGGACATCACACGTGTCAGGGCATCCATGGAGATCATTTTCGCAACCGGGAAATCATCTTCCAGCTGTACAGGTGGCAATACAACAGACAAACACATGACAATGTTATTATTAGCGAGACCCGTTAAGAGAGTAGGAATCACCATAACACCCCTCGACACAGCCGAGAAATGTGACACTATTAGATATGTCTCTTCTGGGTGAACGCTGGCAGATGGCCTGACCCTGGCCAGCTGCTCATATGAGCTTAGATGGGTAGAAGGATGGACAACAGTTAAAATGATCAATCCAAGGGGGTGCACTGTTGCTTAACTGGGACCGAGTCCGGTGGGGGCTCCCGCACTACGGGGTAACTGGGTGCGGTGTCGGGCGCAGGATGGAGCGGAGCTGAGGGGATGCTTTTGTTATTGCACCCCCCCGAATGCTCTGCTCCCCGTTTCCCGAGTGCTCACAGAAGCACAGGCGGAGGTCCGGCAATGAACTAAAGGTGACCTTCCTCCTCAGTCCCAGGGGTTTTCTTGGGGGAAGGAACTCGCCATTAATGTTAGTTATTGGTCGGCAGCTAGATGACCAATGGCGGCCTTTCCCGCACCTCTGGCAAAGTGTTTTTGGGGCATTAGGTTCTGTGGCTAACTCCGGACAATGCTTTTTAAAATGTCCTTTTTTCCCTCAGTTGAAGCAGGATTGGGATCCGCTGAGAGCAGTGGCTAATAGGCATGCTTTATGGGAACCAGACCTAATGTTCTTACAAGCTTCAATCATTTCAGGTAGGGAGGGGTCTTTTAACATCTTAAGGGCTTTCTGATTATCCTCGTTTGCTTTTTCTATAACCAATTTGTTAAAGAGGATGTCTTGGCTTTCTTTTTGTTGAACTTGATGACTAATTGCTTCTCTCAATCTAGTAATAAAATCCACAAAAGGCTCTTTCAGGCCTTGATTAATTAATGTAAACGAGGGAGTTTGGACGTATGCGTCCGCTACCCTCGTAACTGCTTCTAATGCCAATTCTTTCGATATGTCTAAAAATTTCAAGTCAGTTCGAGATTGATCGTCCCTACTTGAATAGTGTCCCTGGCCATAAAGCATGTCTACAACCTGCCTCACCGGTGTTCCCCTCCTTTCCATTTTTTCATTAACATATGTTGTAATCAATTTTTTCCACTCCATCTCAAAGACGAACGATTGTACCGTGGAGAAAAGTCCATTCACAACTCTGTGGATGACATAAGGTATGAGTCTACAGGCCAAAAAGAACGATTCCAGCAAGCCAACCGTAAAGGGCGCTCCTAGTCCATACTGGACAATGGCTTTTTTAATATTCTTATGCATGGGGTATGAAATGGGTCTCCATTCTGGAGTTTTACCCTCCTCCAGGTAAATCGGAAAGGCCTTTAGAAAGTCTATGTCATTAGCTTGAGCAGCTTCCTCCCTGAAAGATTTCCAAATATTTGGATGGTTTGCCTGTCTTTTAGGGGAGTGCTGCGAGTAGTCTATATCGGAATCGGACGACCGGTAAGTGGGGTAGGCCTCGGTGGAATGGGCCCTATGGGTGCGGCCATTTTTACGGAAACTGGATTTAACTTTTGGCCTAGCCCCGCCCCTGACTTCCTTTCTATCCCGGGGGGAAGGTCTTTCCAGGCAAGAGGCAGAGCTGGAGGGAGAGGGCGTGCTTGTGGGTGTGTCGGGGGAGGAGTCTCTGACACACGAAGGTGGGGACGGAGGTGGTCTAGGGGGTGGTACAGAGGGAACCCGCCCCCTTTTTTCCCATGCTGGTGTCTCCCGTGGCAACTTTTCCTGCTTTCACTCCTTGCGTGTTCCGCCTCCCTCCTTCCTGATGCCATTTTGTGCACGCCTTGATGCAGCTTCTTTTTCCCTCCCGCCATCTTGTGTCCGGTGCAGTTTGTGTGACAGTTTAGGAGCTGTTTTTGCAGATAGGAGTCTTGTACGTGATTTCTTGTGTTTTTCATGGAGACCGCTATTCCGGTTCATCATCTGGTGCTGTAGCACCATCAGAACTAGTCTCCAGGCAATTAAAGCTTCTTTGGCTGTTCAGTCCCCTCTATCATTATCTCGCCACAGACTATATCCAATTGACTGCCACTGGTCCACAGAGGTGTCCTCTGCGAGTACGTGACCCTTGTGGTCCAGCCACTTGGCGAGTGCTTTTGCTGATTTCTTATCAAGGGGGTGACCGTGTTCAATAATGAAATCCTTAAGTCGTCGGTAGACGAACTTCTGAGAGGTGGACAGCAAGAGTCCCATGGTGTTATTACAGTGACTCTTGACACTTGTCCTTTCTGTTAAAAATCCTCCTATTAGGGGAGAGGTGTTGGGGTGGGAAGTGGAGTGTCCCCAGCTGCTCACCTTCTCCGGTGCGTCGACCCGTGCGACTCTGTGAGGTGTTGTTCAAGGCACGAACCCCACTCAGACATGAACGAGTGCCAGAGCAGAATTACCGTTTATTCAAACTGCTTAGGTTTAAATACCACGCTTGAACATGTCACATGACCTTCCAACCAATGATAATCAAGTATTGTCAGAGAACCCGGGAGACTACAACTCCCATGGTTCCTTGTTACATTCTTCCTGCCACATCTCTCCCCTCTTTTCATTAACAAGTTGAGAAACAATACATTTTTAACATTATTATTATAACCAATCTTATTTCAACTAATTATAAAAAACAGGGCTTATCGTCACAAGGCCTTTATTGAACTGTTTACAACTTTATTGGTTCGTGCAATACTCAAGCAACCTCAAATTACCGAGGGTTTGTAGGTGTGGATAACCTTTTATCTGAGGGTGACTTTGTGTAATGGCATCATCTTTATTTAAAAGGAAAATGTGTTGGCTTGTAGATGTTGTGTTTGAGGTGGTGTTGTTTGAAGTAGTGTTTAAGATGTCTTGCTATAAAGTGTACTTGCATTCACACACACATACATGCGTCCACTCAACCTTCTCATTCATACTCTGGTGGCCACCGTTTCATTCTCTCCTTACACATGCATTCTTAAACCCTTTATTGTGTTTGACTCATGGAATTTTGGTTTTGTATTGGTTACTGTTTATGTGTTTCTTTTGGTTCTGTATTGGTTACTGTTTATATGTTTCTTTTGGTTCCGTTGTATCATTTATTGCTTCTTTGTGATTATCCCTGTTTTAAAGAAATGTTAATGTAGATTTACACACATAGGGAACAGACCCATCTCTCTTTCCCCCTTTTTTTGTTTTATACCATGTTTTTCACTGTGTGATGTGTTTACTATTGTTGGTCATGTTTCTTCTAATCCAAATCCTTCACTTATTTCTTTTGGTGGTTGTTCCTGTTGTAGGGGAGGGCTAATATAAGGCCTGACACACCTAAAACTAAAAGGGACCCATTGTAATTTGGTACCCTTGGATACACAGGCATATCCCCTTCCCCATGTTATGAGATCTACTGGTCCTGACCATTGCCCAGATATTAGATCTTTGATCATAACTGGTGGTTTGGAAGATGAAAATATTTGAGTTTTATGTTGGCGTTCATACCTGCTATGGTCTGTATCATCACAGTTTAAGAAATTTAGAACATATGATAGGTTAGAGTCCTTGTCTATGCATGGAAGCTTTCGCACTGTTCTCAATACAAGTTTTGCAATTACTTTGTATATCTCTCGGGGGTAATCTAGTTGGGACTTGGGCTTTGAATGTGCCCCCTCCCCGACTAATTGAGCATAAGTCATTCTCGTTTGAGCGTTAGTTTGGTCATTAATATAAGCCTTACAGCTTTCTCTAAAGTCTGTGAGCCATACACTACATTCTGTAGTGGTTAGTACCATTTTTAGTAGTGCCTTCCAGTCATGGGGTGCAAACGTGTGTGCTACTTAGGGTTTCTAGGTAGGAAAACATGTGGTGTGAGGAGACACCACTCTCTTTAATTATCTGCCTTAAATCTTTGATCACCTCGTATGATAAAGCTTGGTACTGGGGGCCTTGCCGGGGTCGATGTATAACAGGGCATGCATTTACTACTTTCCAGTCACCCACACGAGATGCTTCCTCCCTGCATTTATCCCATAAACCTATGGAGGGACCTCTGCCCAATCCTGAAGCTGTTTCTCCTTCTATGTCCTCTATAGACTCGCTGTCCATTTGTCCGTCATAGTCATCCTCCCCCCTTCCCGGCGAAATGCCTGAACCTGGGGGTGGCAGCTTCACTTCCGCCGCGCGGCAGGGGCAACACGGCGGTGCCTCTGGTGCCACTCTCCTTCCGCACGTTGACTCTCCAACCGCCATGTAACGGTCGCCCCGTGACGGTCCAGGGGTAGGCGCTGCTCTGTAACGGTCCTCGGCTCCAGCAGCACTGCTTGCTGCTCTGTACAGCACGGTCTCAGCTGCAGCCATGGGCGCTGGCATAAAGCCAGCATCCCCCCCCGCTGCCATGCTCACGCTGCCACCCCCCAAACCATGCCCCTCCACACCACACGCTGCCACTGCACCGTTCCCCCCAAGGGCTTCCCCTCCCCCCCATTCCTCCTGGCCAATGTGCATTCCCCCCCGCCAACGTACACCCCCCCCCCCGCGCCACTCGGTCTGTGGGGGGGCTGGGGTTGAAGGGGGGGGTGAGGGGAAAGGAGTGGGGGGGGAGTCCACTCTCCCGAGTGCATTTGCTTTTCTGTAGTGCATATTTAAAGCTATCATAATGTCCTTCCATGTAGCTAAATTCTTGAGGGCGTCTGTTTTTCCTTCACTGGCTTTTTCAATAATCTTGTTCCCTATTTTCCTCCAAGATGATACTTGATAAGGTCCAGTTAGAGGTAATGCAGGTTCATGCAAAGGAATCCAATATAACAAGTCCCATAACTTACTTTCTTCTATGTTTATGCTCTGTTCTTGTAAAAGTCGACAGATAGCTTCAGCTGTTTGTTTGATTTTTGGAGTAATTCCCTCCTGACGGGTAAATCACCCTCCCATATTCGTCAATTTTTTGTTACCTCTGTGCTGAAGCTCTGTTGTCCTTTCTTCTGGTCCTTTTTTCTTCCTTTTTTGTTCCTTTTTGCAGAGGTAACCCAGGACGCTGAATTCTTTCTTTTCTTCCTTTTGGTTTTGGTGATATGGACACCCCCGGACAGGTTCCCCAGACCTGCTGCTCCTGGTTGCCGGTAACCTACTGAAGTCCCTTATCGGACGGCCATTTGAGGTGTTGTTCAAGGCACGAACCCCACTCAGACACGAACGAGTGCCAGAGCAGAATTACCGTTTATTCAAACTGCTTAGGTTTAAATACCACGCTTGAACATGTCACATGACCTTCCAACCAATGACAATCAAGTATTGTCAGAGAACCTGGGAGACTACAACTCCCATGGTTCCTTGTTACATTCTTCCTGCCACAGGCCTGACCCTCCATCTCTCCCCTGTTGTTGCTGCAGCACTCTCGGTACCATGTGCATGGCAAGAGCTTTCTGGGCGGACACCTTTCGTCTGGGAGGAATCTTCATCCGTATTCACTTTTGGCCCTCAGACGGCCGATTTAGGAACGACGCTCCTGCCCACGAACAACTGCCCTTCCAGCCAGGAAAAAAGCCCTGACTCTCCATCTCTCAGATGCTGTTGGTGCAGCACTCGACACTACGTGCACAGCAAGAGCTTTCTGGGCGGGCACCTTTCGTCTGGGAGGAATCTTAGTACGTTTACAATTTTGGCTCTCAGACGGCTGATTTAGGAATGAGGTTCCTGCCTACTAACGACAACCCTTCCAGACAGGAAAGAAAGCCCTGACCCTCAGTCTCTCACCTGCCGTTGGTGCAGCAGTCTCAGTACTACGTGCACAGCAAGAGCTTTCTGGGCAGGTACCTTTGGTCTTTGAGGAATTTTCGTCCATGTTCACTTTTGGCCCTTGGACAGCTGATTAAAAACGGGACTCCTGCCCGCGAATGAATGCCCTTCCAGACAGGAAAAAAGCCTTGACCCTCAGTCTCTCACCTGCCGTTGGTGCAGCACTCTGGGCACTATGTGCACAGCAAGAGCTTTCTGGGCGGACCCCTTTGGTCTGGGAGGAATTTTTGTTCGTATTCACTTTTGGCCCTTGTACTGCCAAGTGCGGCACAGCTCTGCTCCCTGCGAACAACTGCCCTTCCAGCCATGAAAAAAGCCCTGACCCTCCATCTTTCAGCTGCCGTTGGTGCAGCACTCTCAACACTACGTGCACAGCAAGAGCTTTCTGGGGAGGCACCTTTGGTCTGGGAGGAATTTTCGTCCTTATTCAGTTTTGGCGATCCAACGGCCAATTTAGGAACAGGGCTCCTGCCCACGAACGACTGCCTTTCCAGACCGGAAAGAAAGGCCTGATCCAACGTCTCTCACCTGCCGTTGGTGCAGCACTCTTGGCACTACGTGCACAAAAAGAGCTTTCTGGGCAGGCACCTTTGGTCTGGGAGGAATCTTAGTACGTATACAATTTTGGCTCTCAGACGGTTGATTTAGGAATGAGGCTCCAGCCTACAAACGACTGCCCTTCCAGACAGGAAAAAAGCTCTGTACCTCAGTCTGTCAGCTGCTGCTGTTGCAGGAATCTCTGCACTACTTGCAGAGCAAGAGCTTTCTGGGCTGGCACCTTTGGTCTGGGAGGAATCTTCGACCGTATTTACTTTTAGGCCTTGGACGGCCCATTTAGAAACGAGGCTCCTGCCCGCAAATGAATGCCCTTCCAGACAGGAAAAAAGCTCTCGCCCTCAGTCTCTCAGCTGCGTTGTTGCAGGATTCTCGGCACTACGTGCAGAGCAAGAGCTTTCTGACCGGGCCCCTTTGGTCTGGGAGGAATCTTCGTCCGTATGCACTTTTGGGCCTCAGAGGGCCAAGTGCGGCACCACTCTCCACCCCACAGCCCAGTGCGTCGCAGCTCTCCTCCCCGCGAACAACTGCCCTTCCAGCCAGGAAAAAAGCCCTGACTCTCCATCTCTCAGATGCTGTTGGTGCAGCACTCTGGACACTACGTGCACAGCAAGAGCTTTCTGGGCGGGCACCTTTGGTCTGGGAGGAATCTTCATCCGTATTCAGTTTTGGCCCTCGGATGGCTGAGTGCGGCATGTTATAAGTGATCTAAAGAAATTGGCTACTCAAAACGGGAAAGAGTTAATAAAGTTACTGTATTGTGTTAACTGCTTTGTTAGAATCATAAGTTAACATGTTGTGCAATGCTTAACCACAAGTTCTGTAACACAACACAAGAATGATTTAGCATATTGCATTTTGGAGATGTTTGTTCTAAGTGTATTAATAGGAACCAATATGGAGGGGTAGACCATGAGGAGTCCGGGTGATCAGTCGTCATCCCAATGGAAATTTCCAGGACCACAGCCTCATAGAAATCAATGACTCTGAAATTATTGGTGGACACCTTTCAGCAACGGCGATTGCCCGCGAAAGGAGGAACCAACCCCTAGTTGGCCTGCGAAGAGGGAACCAAGT